ACAATAGGTCAAAAAGATAAGCCGTACACATAAATACAGATAAAATGAGAATAAATAAGAGAAATTTTTTAATCGTTATTCGTAATTTACGACAAAAGTTTTTATTCTCACACTAGCAATACCCAGCACCTATAAGCCCAGGTAATAATCTATTTGTATACCACATTTTATCCAAATCCGTCCAGCCGTTTCAGCGTAAAAAATAATATATACACAGTACATAGCGTGGGAAAGTCAACGAGAACGAAAGAATACATAAACTTTCGCTTTTATAATTAAGATTATTACCTGAGAGATTATTCCCTAAGATTATTCTCCCTAAGATTATTCCCTAAGGGGAGGTTAGTACGATTACAATATGAGTAAGATTTTTGCAAAAGATATAAGTATCAAGATGGTACAGAAAATTAAAAAAACTCAGTGGTACGAGTGCGACTAGTTTTGCTATTATTTGGTAGGTGGAAAAAATTAAGGTGGCTCTTAACACCCTCTCACTCCGCAAATTGTCACGCGTTATTTCTTAGGAAAATCTAATTACAACGCCTCTTTGTATTTGCTCCGTGTTCTTACCTATTGATTGAATGGTTCCACATTCCTAAATAGTGTTGTGCCATAGGATTGATTGGTTCTTGTGGACAGCGCCATGTGTCTGGAGGACAGCGCCATCTAGTATCAAGTGGGGCACAACGCTACGCATTGAGATCATGGCTCTTAATTCCGATACTTGCTTGCAGTGCCAGCTAGTGTCGAATATCGGAAGATTATAGAATTTTCTAGATGCCTTATTGTACGTGCTTCTATTCGGAAGATTCCACCGAATATTAGGGATTAATCTAGTAATTTCGATAACTCTATAAAAGCGGAGCGTGTTGGCCGTACGGGGCAGTATTGTTTTACGACACAGCGAATTTACATCGAAGTGAATTTCTAGTACGACTAACGAGTTATATAGTGATTTCTTGTTTGTAATAGTGAGTGTTTGTAAATACAGTGCAAAAAAAGTAATTAACCGACAACTTTTGTTTATTGAATACCCCGCAAGTAACAATAATAATACTTCAGAATGCGCAAGTGTAGCCATTGTAAAGTAATAGTGGCTAAATAATACGCTAAGAAATCACGGGAAATCCCTGTAGAAACGTATGCAAAAACGTTTGAATGTTAAGAACACCAAATTCAACGAAAATATCTTTGTAAAGTATAAAAACACCATTAATGATTCAAGGTTGTTAGTATATTTATTCATTACATTGCGGTTACGCGATTTTTTGTCTTAAATTGCAAATGTAATTTACCTCATGTTAAGATGTATTAAGTGACCACCTAAGTCGACAGTCACTTTTGAAAATAAAAAAATAATAATTAAAAAATTAAAAAAAGAGTAAACGGTAAAAAGTATTCCTAGATTTTGTTTTCTTTGGCAATATTTTCAAGCCATCTTACTCTTAAAAAATTTGTGAATTCAGCATTTCAAAAAAAAAGTTTGTCTTCATATATATATTTCAGTATAGTTTAGCAATACCTACTATAAAACCTGTTGTACATTGCGACGCTTTGTGCTTATTAGAACAGTCTCAATTAGCTGTTGTAGTTTTTTAAAGTACTTTTTAGTACCGGGGGTTTTTTAAGTTTTTAAAATAATTTTATTTTATTAAAACGTATGACAGTAGGTCGCTAAGTGCTTATTTGTCGTATCTACCATTGGATGTTTTTTTTTTAAGTTACGACGAAGTTTTTTTTTGTCCTATTGAAAATAAGAGCCATAGTTACTAACGAATTGATTGTTATAATTTTCATCTACTGATGGTAACTAAATATACCTCATTAGAGATAGCACAAAGTGACCGTTACATTTGTGCGTACTTATTGTTCTAAGTACCAAATGTAATATACAGGTTGTTCATTTCATCTTCACACTGACTGGAATTAATGATAATGTGTTTTGAATTATTTCTTTGACTTTTAAGAATTATGGTGCTTTATTAAATTATTAAAAACCTTGTAGCTCTTTTTTACCTTTTATTTTTTAATTGTCAACCATTAAAAAATCGTAAACTAAAACACATCTTGCACAACTTTGCACACTCTTAGCGTTTGAGGCTGCTAAAAAATGCCGCCTTATTATATTAAAAAAAGAATTTCGGCCATTGAATTATCTATATAAAAATCAATTGCTCGTTGTTTTTTGTTATGACGGTGCATCACTTGAGAACGGATATGAGAAATATTTTTTTGCTATAATTTTTTTTTTGGTGTATACGTTATTGTCAGAACACGGTTTGTATGAAGGATAATTTAAAAAATCGTACAGGAAATTTTTGAACATCACCGTGCGAAATAAGTAAACAAACAGTATCCTGTTGCCAAATCATAACGGACTTGAGAGTACATTTAAAAGTACTAACTCTTCAAATTGAGTTTGCGTGTGTTTATTTTTACTTTTGCAATGTGTTCCAGACATTATCAAGTACTTGCTTAAAAAATATCTAAGCACAAAACACAATAAATTAAATGATTTTATCAATATTTTAGCATCTCTTGTGATATCGCCAGCTACGGTATCAAATCATACAAAATAGCGGAATTCATAATTCATATTCATAATTAAACAGGACATAGAAAAAAACTGGACATAAAACAAATAAGCACAAAACTTTCATTGCAGTATCGAGTCACAAATAAAAATCAAATGGTTTTTTTGTTGTTTTAAAAGCAAAAAGTTTTAAAACTTTCTTAACCAACAGGTGTAAAATTTATTTAACTAATTTGATAATAAACAAATGATAAAATGTGCATTAGTAACTGATATTTAGTTATTTATTGACATTGTACGCGTAAAAATAGTATAACTACAGATCATTCTTGAATAGTAAAATTTAAAAAAAGAAAAAAAGGAATTAAAATACTTTGATGCTCATTGTAAAAATGACAAAATTATCTTTTGTTAATTAACATAAACTTAATTGGGGAATTCCCCGACAGCAAACAATTAGATGAATACCTTGAAGACGTTCGTTTGAAAATTAAAAAGAGTTATTTTTAATGCAAGCAAAACCAGTTTGTATCAATGATATAACTACAATATTTATTGAATAATCTCGCGGTCAAGGTTAGGGACGTTAATTTCGATTTATTTATAGCTCATTATGACTAAAGAATCACATCACATCATCATACTAAAGAATACATACATAAATAATTGGATGAATACTTTTCTATAGAATCTATTAGACTTATTCTAATTTGAAGTTGCATTTGAAGATATATGAACAAATGACCTTAGTAGCCGATATATTAATAATAATGTGTTTGCGAGAGCAGGTATATTGTTAGATGTCGGAGAAGTTAAGTGTAAATGCGTAAAGGCATCAACTGTATCGGCGATAAAGCGTGCTATGAGAAATGTTTCAGTTTAATTTTAGCAAAAAAACTTCTATCCTACAGTGTTTAGCAGCTGACGTGGTGGAAGAACATTCGACCAGGGCCGAAGTATTTCCTGGCAGATCAGTCCATCGGTTAAAGGTGGCTAGTTGTACATATACTAATCGGTGCGAACTGTCATTGCGCGATGCAGGAAAAGTAGTTCGGAGTGTTTTCGTTAGACGACATTGAAGTATGTTTATGTTGTGCATGGATATCGCCACAGAAGTCATCTTCGGATAGAAGGAATCAGATATGAATGGTGCATTTAATATGAAATCTATTTTTTTAAACCCTAATGTGGCTTACCGTTTAGTTAGATGGCGTTCTCTATAGCTCTTTGACGTTTGTGACATAATTTAAAACGTCGCACTAGAAATTCAATACGATGTTTATTCGCCGTGTGGTAAAACGAAACTGACTCGTACGGCTAACACGCTCCGCTTTTATAGTGCTATGGAAATTATTAGACTAATCCCGAATATCCGATGGAAGCTTCCAGACGGAACCACGTACAATAAGGCATCTAGAAATTTCTATAATCTGCCGATTTTCGAAACTAGATGTCGCTGCAAGCAAGTATCGGTATTAAGAATCATAATCTTAATGCGTAACGCTGTGCCCAACTTGATACTAGATGGCGCTGATCTCCAGATTCAACACACGAACCACCATTCATTGAATGGAGTTGAAAGGTAGGCTCATTAAATATGACCTATTAAATATTGTTTAGTTTTTCGTCTATACGCCTGTTGGAACGGGCGTACCCAAACACTATATAAAGTGCGCCGCGTATCGTTCTACGGTCTTTGGTAACGTTTCGACTCGGTTTTGTAGAATTTAACTAACAAGTCAAAAATATTTGTCTGAAATATTGTGTATACTCGTATTTACTAAGGAACCCTAATCCTCTGAAAAACTTTATTTAGACGTTTTATTTACATATATATTACTGTTTAGGAATTAAAATTTCTTAAAACTAATAAGTGATCTTACTAATCACAACAATAAAATACCTTTTCAAATTCTCTGTCCGTTCTACACGATGCCTGTTGCAAGAAATGTTTTGCACAGTTTACTCTTAATATTTTCTTTTTACTGGACAGTTGCCAATGTATTTTCTTTTTTCGACAATAGGATGATAGTGATCAGAATAGCAAAGTCAATATTGCAATCGGTTGTTACAGACTCAAACCATGAACACTATGTTTGTGTAGAGTTTTTAGTCGATTTAAACAATTCACCCAAAATTTATAACCTTTAACTAAAATCACGAATTGATGAGTGTAACAAGATTTTTGTGCATTTAATATAGATCAAAATTGCCTTTTTCAGCATATCATTAAAATTAATCAATTAGTAGATATCAGCGTACAGATATCCGCGTCGGGTCGTACGTCCGTACGGCATAAAATATTGCTAAAGATGCCCTGTAGCATAAGTCTTATCGTAATAATAGTATAGTTAATTGCTCTACACTAAAACCACAATAGTAGTATTAGTAGTAGGTATCTACATTACATCCGTGCAAAGCCGGGCGGATCGCTATACTTGTATACAACTTCATACGACGAGTTTACCTTTTGGTGGTCCAAAGAGCACCACATCCATGGCCTTGAGAACCAGCTTCTGCTTGTGTTTGGGGTCCTTGATTCCAAGTACATTGCTTAAGTACTGCATATTGTTTACAGCCAATCTGAGCCAAATAGAAAGTATATTAAACTTAAGAATAGCATAGTAATTAAAAAACCTTTTCTACATTGGGCATAAACAAGTACTGCCAATAAAATATTCTAATAATTGATTCTAGAAAACGAAAGCCTACTCATTTGAGAACATACAATATATTTTTGGAGCTGAGAGCATTGAAAATTTCTGTAGTATAATATCGTCTTGCTTCAATCTGCTTTAATAAAACTGTGAACTGCAGAAATATTGGTATTCGAAGGAGCCGGAATAGCAAAACCACGTTTATCGACAAAAGATCTGATGTCGAAGATTCCTTGTGTACAACTGTAACGTAATCATTTCTTTGTGCTCTGTCGATCCCGAAGTATCCATATGATTAATATATAACAAAGATACTAAAATAGTTCAACATATTTAGATTACGGTAATAGCTATCAAGCGTACATAATGCTATTGTACACCATAATGGCGTTGACAATTTTTCTCAACGGTTACGATTTATCCATAACTATAGTCCATCAACGTCGTGCGCGACCGTCCTGCGGGGTGACAGACGGTGGCGGGGACGAGGTACTCAAGATGTCAGCGGGTAGCGGGTGGTGTAGCGGGGAAGGGAAACGCTTCTCTTCGTGTGTAGCCATGTGCTAGAATGACGCGCTACCTCGCCCCCGCCAGTGTCTGTCACCCCGCGGGACGGTCGCGCACGAGATTGCCGGGTTATAGCAGGCAGTTTTTGGCTTCGGTCGCGGCCTATAGGCCCATCGTGCTGCTGGACGAGGCGGGCAAACTGTTTGAGAGGGTTCTTTCTGCCCGCATCGTCCGGCACCTCTGCGAGGTGGGCCCCGATCTGTCGGACGCCCAATTTGGTTTTCGGGCGGGGCGTTCGACAGTCGACGCCGTGTTGCGCCTGAGGGCCGTGACCGAAGAGGCCGTGAGCTGTGGCGGCGTGCTGTTGGCGGTGTCATTAGACATCGCCAACGCATTCAATAGTCTGCCATTCAGCTGCATCAGGGAAGCACTCCACTATCATGGGGTGCCAAAGTACCTGAGGCGGCTAGTGGCAGACTACTTAGAGGAGCGTACCGTCGTGTACGAGGACCGAGAAGGTAATTTGAGGAGTCGGCCCATGTCGTGCGGTGTTCCACAGGGGTCTGTTCTTGGACCCCTCTTGTGGAACATAGGGTACGACTGGGCCCTTCGCGCCGATTTCCCCCCCGGGCTGGGTGTAATCTGTTACGCAGACGATACCCTCGTGACAGCACGGGGGGCAAACTTCCAAGAGGCGGCGCGCCTGGCCACAGGGGGAGTCTCCCTGGTGGTCGGGCGCATTGAGGCGCTGGGCTTACGGGTGGCCCTAGATAAGACGGAGGCCCTGTTATTCCATGGGCCCCGTCGTGGTCCACCCCCTGGCGCCTCAATCGTGGTCAACTCGGTCCTCGTACCAATTCGGGCCCAGATGAAATATCTGGGCCTGATCCTCGACGGGAGGTGGCTCTTCGACGAGCACTTCCGACAGCTTGCTCCAAAGCTGGTCGGCGCTGCGTCTGCCCTAGGGCGACTCTTGCCCAATATGGGTGGACCCAGCGTCGCGACAAGACGGCTGTACACGGGGGTTGTCCGGTCAATGGCGCTGTACGGTGCACCGGTGTGGGCGGCGGCTCTGACCGCCCAGAATAGGGTACGCCTCTGGCGCCCTCAGAGGGTAATGGCGGTCAGAGCCATACGCGGTTACCGCACCGTTTCTACGGAGGTGGCATGCGCGTTGGCCGGAACTCCCCCGTGGGATTTGGAGGCGGAAGTGCTCGCCGAAGTTTATCGGCGAGTGGCTGACTTCCGGGCGGAGAGCGGATTTCGCCCTCCGCCCGAGGATGTGCGCGAGTGGCGCGAAGCCGCTCGCCGAGCCACGATGGCTCGTTGGTCGTTCCGGCTGGAGACTCCACGCGCTGGCTTCGCCGCCGTGGAGGCTCTCCAGCCGGTCATCGCCGAGTGGGCAGCACGGGACCCTTTCCTTCCGACTGACGCAGGTGCTTTCCGGGCACGGTTGCTTCGGAAGGTACCTGCACACGGTCGCTAGGAGGGAACTGAGTCCCGCCTGCCACCACTGCGACTGCAGTGAGGACTCGGCCCAGCACACGCTGGCGGTCTGCCCCCGCATGGGCGGCGCAGCGCCGGGCCCTCACTGCAGTCATCGGAGTGGATCTCTCGCTACCGGCCGTAGTACGCTCCATGGCCGGTAGCGACAGTTGTTTTACCGCGGTCGCAACCTTCTGCGAGGTAGTAATCTCGCGGAAGGAGGCGGCGGAGAGGGCCCGGGAGGACGACCTCCACTCGGTCTCCACTCCACCCGATCCGCCGCCGGCGAACCGGGCGGCGGAGGCCCGCCTACCACAGCCTCATGCCGCCCTGAGTGTGGCCGCGGGTGGACGGGGTGGGTTTCCCCTCCACCCGCATTAGTTTGGCCAGCCGCGAGGGGGCGGCGTCCGCGTGTGCCGGACGTCGCCTATAAAGAGAGGAAAAACACTGAGACGGAGCCCGCACCAGGAGCGAGCTGGCGCTAGGAGGGGTCCGGATGTCTTAACAACAGCTGTTCCCGGATCCCTCCTGTTACAGGCGCAGAGTGGCACACCGTGTGGTTTTAGTCGGTCCGAGTCCGACACACCACCCCGCCGCAAACCCCGGAGGGGTGACGGTCCGAGGGGATTTCCACACGTTAAAAAAAAAAAAAAAAAAAAAGGCAGTTTTTGGCTACAATTACAATTTACCACGTCTTGTTAGTAATATATTTGTGAAAGTGCAATTTATACTAGCAGTACCCATACGTAAAATGGTTGCCACGTCAATTTGGTAGAACAGATAAGATTTTCAACTGCAGCACCAAAAAGATTGTTATAATATAATGTACGATAAACAGATGATAAACGAGTGAAGAGACTTTTTTCCGATACTGCCTCGGTGGAGCAGTGGTAGCGTATATGACTGATTTACTGATGTCTCGGATTCGATTACCTGGTCGGAACTAATGTTTGTATGATATGAAATAATGGTTTGGGTGTTTTCTATGTATAATGTGTGTGTATTTACAAAAAAAATGTATATAAGTATTCTATCAGTCAATTTAGTTTTCATAGTACAAGCTCTGCTTAGTTTGGAACTAGATGGCATTTTGTGTTAGATTTCCAAAAAAATATAAACTGTATTTTCTTGTATTCAATTATATTATTCTTATGCTAAAAAATGTACCCAGTCGCCATTGTAAAATTATTTTAAAGTTAAACAGCTTGTTAATTACCTAAGGAACATCACCATCAAATACAGAAGCAGTGCGAGTTAAGTGAAGTAAAAAATGCATTCTAAGTAGAATAGCCGAATCCTGTGTTTTGAAAATTAAATGAACCCTAGTTTATATAACATAATATGTTTATTAATAGTTTACCTCGGCAAAGTGGCGCCAGTAACTCTGTGTTGCAAAAACAGCGTCTTGTACTGCGGCAGGTCCACTGATTGCGAAAGCCATTCCACTGTTTGCTCCACCGTCCAATTGCGTACCTGAAATTAACAAGAGAAGAAAATAATGAAAATTACTATTCAACATTCTAAAAACATCTTTGAAACAGGTGACTACAGGACTTCTCTTAAATAACATCTTCGAGTTGCCGAAAATGAGTAAGTTGTTGTTATAGCAGCGTTACTATGACAATGGGCCCTGCGTAACAATCGTACAGAGATCAGCCTTTAACAATAGGTAATTTCCACTTTAAGAATGTAACCTTTTTCACGGGGCACTGCATTTCTTCATAATATATGACTGTACTGTTTGGCCAAGAGAGCGGCTAGGTACATATTGTATAAGGTGAAGAGTGTAGTGTAAGTTTATTTTCTAGACGGCGACCACGTTAAATCTTCACCAATCGCAATGCCAAACGCGTTCACCGTCGAAAGCGGTTGATGTGAAAAAAACTCAGAGGCCCTATAAAACCTACGTACCTCAGATCTCAGCCACGCCTCCCACAGCTCCTTAACCGATATGTGCATGTCATCATTGTGGTGGAAGGCGCGCTGCCGCTTTTCATAGCCACTGTCGTACTGCAACTCCTCGCGAAGAAACTGAAATAGTAAATTAATAATTTATTAAAATCAGAAAGCGAGAAAGCGTTTTAAACTATAGGTCGTCTGCATCATCATAATTCGATCATTAGAAATTCAACCTAATAAATGCTGCACATTGAGGTTGGTGAACGGAAATATACTTGTTCATTAATTAATAGTAATTAGCAAACAATAAATCTAACAATAGCCTGCTAATAATTACATTTGAGCTAATTGTTCTAATTGACAGAGCCAAGGCCTTCTTCAAATTTCATTATAAGATAGTTATGTAGAAGTTCATATTTAAATCATTCTCTTAAATCCAGTATCAGTTTAGGTAACGAACTCACATTTATTAATCTCTCTTATCCGTTAATCTTCAGTGAGGATTCAGTCTATCCAACAAAAAAAACGCTGGAAGCTTTGCCAACATTTGGGATGTTTTTAACCAATACTGACTGACATATAGTTTGTTTGTTTTTTTTTTCAGGAAAAGTAAACACAAAATCAGGTTTCAGATTTTAACAGGATAGACAAAAAATCCCGTGATACGTTCCTACGTCACTGGCAAATCAAAAAATATTATTTTACATTTATATACATAACTAGCCTTATATACATATTCTAAGAGAAATAATTAACTTAAACAAAATAATTATTAAAACCGTACATCATATGTTTTGATGTAGTATTTTTACGCCTTGCTACACAGCGCCATCTAGTTCTAGAAAAGGAATAAACATATTAAGATCTATTTTTTGTAAATATTTATATACGAGTATTACATAACATACATCTAGACGGATGTAAAAGATATAAGTATTCATGAATAGCAAATAGTAATACTGAGGGGAGTCGAACCCTCGATCTTAGACGTGCGTAGCAACGTGACGTGTCAAGGTTGGGTCAGAGAGCGGACGTGGCAGGACGGTGTCTGACTGGGTCTTTAAATCAGTGTTTAAAAATTTAATCCGTTATATTATAAAACGCTGATTCAAAGACCCAGAGAGAGAGAGAGAGAGGCATAGAACATGTATATGGTGTGATATATGAACTAACTCTATGTAGTTAGTTCATATAATAATGACTACAACGCTTATCGCATGTGTACATAATACTTGATTACTGCTACCGCACTTTAGGCAAATGATTTAAAATACTGAATATCGTTGGGATTACAATATTGTATTTGTTATAATCGGGGTTTGGATTAGGACTGAATGATTTTATTACTTTTGTGGAGGAACGGGTGTCATGTCCCTCCAACACAAAGGGAGGATCCTCCGACCAGGCGAGGTGATCATGCCTGGCGGGCGGCGGCCCAACGGTTGATGTTGGGAAGTTTTATATATGCTAATCGGCGAGGGAATTCTTTATATCGCGATACAGGATTAGCAATTCTTATTTTAGTAGTTACTCCGTAGTTCGGTGTGTCTTCATTAGATGGCGCTGTAGTATGTTTCTGTTTCTTTGTATGTGGGAGTCGCCACATCACTCCCCTCCAAGACCGGAGGTCGATATATGATGAGTCAGCTGTCTATGCTCTGTTGTGGAGCGTGCCAGTGCCAGTAGTGAGTAGTTCCAGTGAGTCGGAACTGAGTGCCGCTAGTTCCAGTGGGTCGGAACTGAGTGCCGCTAGTTCCAGTGAGTCGGGGCTGAAGTCCGCTGATCCCAGTGAGTCGGGATGGCGTGCGGTGCGCGGTGCTGCGGTGAAGTCCCCAGTGAGTCGGGGCAGTTGCTGCGTAGTGGCATGCTGCTGCGTGGACGGGAGAGAAAATGCTCTTCTTACGTGGACCGTAGGTGCAGTGTGCTGTGCCTAGACGCTGATGAGGCCGTAGAGGTAACCAGACTGGAGCGGTCGCTACCTGCGTGTGGTATCCCTGTAGAGGCCGAGGTTGCTGGCTGGCTGAGACTTGATTACTGCTCATCGCTGTGGGAGTGTACACGATGGTGCTGCTGATGATCTGCTCCTTTTGAAAGTTGCTTCCAATCACGTCGGGGTCACCACTGTGGAGGAACGGGTGTCATGTCCCTCCAACACAAAGGGAGGATCCTCCGACCAGGCGAGGTGATCATGCCTGGCGGGCCGCGGCCCAACGGTTGATGTTGGGAAGTTGTATATATGCTAATCGGCGAGGGAATTCTTTATATCGCGATACAGGATTAGCAATTCTTATTTTAGTAGTTACTCCGTAGTTCGGTGTGTCTTTATAAGATGGCGCTGTAGTATGTTTCTGTTTCTTTGTATGTGGGAGTCGCCACAATTTCATTGTCATAAGGTACAAATCGAAACGAAACATTCTTGTTAATATCATACATGAATCCCAGTTAAAAACTTCAGATATTTATAATATTCATTAAATATTGTAGTAGTTAAACAAATTTTAGTATAGAAGAGCAAAGAAAACCACGTTTTAATAGTGACCACCAAATTCTTTTTTTTATATGACAACACCCGCATTAGGAATATATCCTAATATAAATGAAACGGACACAAAGATCACCCAGACTCAGAACAACAATTTGTGGATCACACAAATTGTCGTTCTACGTGGGGATCGGACCCACAACACTCAGCGTAGTAGTAAGCGGCGTGGCGACCGCTGAAACCACTACTCTATCCGTGTAGTCATTACGATTCATACAATTGAAAATTACGAGAGCCCAAATAAAACGGGTAAACTAGAAACTACTGGAGAGAATATTCATTTCTTAGCTCATCAGATCAGCTCGATTATGCCAAATTATAGTATCGTCGTCCAGACTACAACACATATATATTCAAAGTTTAACATCGAAACAACAAATAACAAAACCAGTTAAGTTGTACCTAAGTATTAATTCACGAGAATAAAAAAAAACCCAGCTGTAAAAAAACGAGTGTGTTTTAGACCACACGACTGATGTAAAACTTCTTCGCTATGAGAGAAAGAAAATATGCGCTAGCACCTCTTTCTCTTGCCCCTACAGTAATATACGAAACGTAACTCTCTCTCTCTTTCTATCTTCACTAACTTATGTCTACCTCTCGACTTCTGTTCACACTTTTCGTAACGCTTTCGTCACGCATCCAACAGCTTACTCTTGGGGTCCAGCGCGCGTAAAGAAGTTTTACTTCAAAAATCTTATGACCATGAGAGATGACTTCAACTGACGCACTCTAGGTTTGGTTGAGTTTACGAACACTGACCTAAATACAGACGAATTTCCGCCTAACTTTGATCAAAAGTGACGGATACTAAATAGTATATAGTGTGCAATGTGTGCATTAGCTTAATAATTGTCAATGCCGCAAGATCCGCATCACATGATAACAAATATTAAAAAAGCTATGCAAAAAGTGATTCATATGTGTAATAATTAGAAGTTGTGTAGTCTTGACAGCCATTGGTAACCGTGTCATTGTTCCACGTAAGTAACATGCATTAGACTCTTAACAGACCGATCTTAAAATGGCAAAAACATGTATCTAGACCAGGGATTCCCAAAGTGGTCGAGATCGAAATCGGTTTTCCAAGGGTCGATTTTAGGGTCGACGAGGTCTAAAAATCGACCACTACTAATTAACACAAGTTCTTATCTCGTTCTCGTTGTTGTATTAAAAAAATCAAGAAGTTGATAAGCGCGCTGTAATTTGGCTATGGGGGGTCTGAGGTATCAGTTCATTTAAGAAATGGGGTCTCTGCCCAAAATAGTTTGGGAATCCCTGTTCTGGACGAACCTGGTTCAGGGGAAAAGAATAACAAACTTAAAAACTTACATCATCACTTTCGCTGAGGTCAACATTCCCGTTGGCGTCATCATCTAGCTGCCTGTGTAGCATGGTGATAGCCTCGAGACCAGCACGATCCTGGAGGCATGATGGCTCATTGTGACACGCTTCGAACAAAACTGAAAAAATATAAAAGAATCGTAAATATAAACAGAAATTAAGAGGTTTTCTGGTCAGCACATTAGGTGATAAAGGCTGGGCTATGTTTTTTTTCAAATATTGACGCTCCATAACAGTGTTTTTTTAATGGATTTTCTGTATCTCAGACAACCTTTCTGTTGACAACAGATCTTCGCATTTATAATATTAGGAGTATTAGCTTTTGCTCGCCTCTCCGCCCGCGGCTATGTCTGTTATCGCGTTAAAAAGTAGCTTATGAGACTCGCTGATAATGTAGCTTTCCATTGATGAAATATTTTTTAACATCTGTTTAGTGGTTTACGCGTGAAAGCGTAATAAACAAACAAACTCACTTTCACAGTTATAAATATGGATTAAGGCATTTCTTCATTCCTTCTATTTTGGCCGTAGATGGTTAGTGATTAATGTCTTTTTGATTAATTTAAAAGACGTGAAATATTGGTTTTTAATAAAATTAATTTTAATTATTGCTCGTTTGCCCCCTATATTATGAAAAAATTGGCACACTGGAACCATACACACTTGTGCAGTGATGGACGAACCACAATTATCATAGATATATTTATTTATTTTAATACTTTATGCACGAATTAAGAGTGTACAATGACAGACTTAATGCCTCAGACATTTCCTCCCGGTCTAGCTTTGGGTGGTGGGGAAAGGGCTGACTAGGTGCACTAGATATTAAGTATTTTTTAAAGATCAAATAATAGTTGAGGAGATGGACTGAAACCGTGAAACAGATATACATACATACATACTGAATTCTACATCTATACAAATAAATAAAATTGGAGTGTATGCCTTTTACTAAATGCATATGTATGTTTACACGGTACATATGCCAAAATATCACTTTTTACCATTTTTGTCTGTCTGTCTGTTTGTTCCGGATAATCTTTGGAACGGCTGGACCGATTTCGACGGGACTTTCACTGGCAGATAGCTGATGACATAAGGAGTAACTTAGGCTACTTTTTTTAGGGATGTAACTTAACCAACTTGGGAGCACGACGTACATATGTTACTCATATGAACAATGTATCGGTCATGTAAAATATCTGTTTCTGGTTCATATCAAATCCAATTCACAGATTCTGATTACTGATATCGCGAACTAGAGCCTATTATAACAACGGCCACTATAACAGTAAACTTGTTAGACTAAGTGCTTTTTTTTTAGCTACCTTGTCAAGTCTCCCGAGTACCTATTGACACATCTTAGATTCTTCTATAAACTTCCAAAGTGAACACTTATTTCTATAATATTCAAATTAGGCGATCTATGTTTTCCCAAATCACTTTTAAATGGTTGTTATATAAAACATTGAGAGATAAAGGCGATTAAAACATAGGTTAATTAAAAGATCAATTAATGATACATTTACATATTTAATAACTATTTTTAATAATGGTGCACTAGATATCAACTGCACGGATGTCGTTGTGGTTTAGGCGGTAGCCACGCCGCTTACTACTACGCTGAGTGTTGTGGGTCCGATCCCCACATGGGACGACACTTTGTGTGATCCACTAATTGTTTTTCTGAGTCTGGGTGTTCTTTGTGTCCATGTCATGTATGTTTGTAAAGTCCCCCGCGACACAGGATATATTCCTAAAGCGGGAGTTTTCTTTAGAGAGTAGAAAAAAATAACAAAACCACAGTGGATTTGTAAATATAAGTTTTATAGAGTAAGGAATTATATGAATAAAAGTAGTATAAGCAGATAAAATAACAGATCACCCAAGCTGCGAGCCTTAAGGGGTCGCTACAGACTGGTAGCACACAAAATTCTTCCGCACAAAATTGTTACACGTTAATAACGGGTGTCCCAAAATTTACGCAATGATGATGATATATAGGATATGATAGGATGAAAAGTATATAGGATAGGGTTATTTATGGATTAAGACATTGGGCAAATGGCTTGACTTTGCTGGCATATACACCCTCTTTTATCGAAATTTTCCATGACCATTTTGCATAAATGTAGTCGAATTTCCTGCTCATCATCATCATCATCAACAGCCTATACTAGTCCACTGCTGGACATAGGCCTCTCCTTAGAAAGGAGGTTTTGGCCTACTATACCACGCTGGCCAGACGGGTTGGTATAGGGTTTGTTTCAAGTTTTTCTTCTCTTTGCAGTGCTGTTGTCCTGCTTAGTTTGCTCCCTTAGTCGGCTCTTACGACACCCACGGGATGAATTGGGGTAGTGACAATTTGTATTCTTAATCCGTCACCACACGGACTGATGCAGGGTTGAATTTCTGCTTTTAATACACGGTGGACGTAGGCGTAGGGTGTTAAATCACACGATCTAGGGGGCCAATTCTGATCACCGAAACGAAAGAGTACACGTCCTGGAAATGTCTCATGCAGTTGTTGAATTGTTTCAAGCTCTGTATGACATGTGGCACCATCTTGTTCAAACCACATATTGGCCACATCAATATCATCCGATTTCGTGTCGTGTCGTGGTGTCGAGTACCAGTAATAGTCACTTGACAAGCCTCATTTTCAAAAAGTATCCCTCCAGCCCAAAATTCACACGAAACAGTGACACGTTGTGGATGCATTTTCTTTTTCGACAATCGCATGTGGATTCGCCGAACCCCAAATGAGATCATATTGTCCATTAACAAAACCATAAAGATGATAATGTGCTTCGTCGCTTTGGATAATTTTGTTCGGCATTAAACAAACTCTGGTGTATAATGGTCATTAAGCTTCAATTGTTGTGTTGACCAAATTTTGTCAGCATGGAGACGCAGATCTTTAGTGAGTATACGCAGCAGAGAGCTTTTCAAAATTCTTGTACACGACGCCGGATGGATGTTTCTGTATTTTCAATACCGCTCTCACGCACTGCTTCGATATTAACATTTAAACGGCTTGTTTTTAGAAGACCAGTGTGTTTAGTGTCCCTCACTAATCCAGTCTGCGTGAAATTTTTAATTAATCTCTTCACAGTTGATGAAGCCAAAACACTATTTCGACCATATTTTTAAACTGTTATCATTATTTTTGAGATAATGTTAAACAATAAAGAGCAGTTGGTCTATCGTGTAAGGCTCCATTTTTACTGACCGTCAGCTACCAAATTAGTTTTGTTTTAGGGTTGCTATCACTTTACCGCACTAATGGCCTCAAATGCAAATCTTGCGTTAATGTTGTAAATAAATATAACGATTTTTTTTTATGATAGAGGGAGCACACGAGCAGACGGGTTACCTGATGGAATGGTGACCATCAACGCCCATGAACGTCTGCAACTCAGGAGTCACTAACGCGTTGCCGGCCTTTTAGGAAGGAGTACGCTCTTTTCTTGAAGGTTTGAAGGTCGTATCGGTCATAATAATTTAGATGATGATGATGAATTTATCAATGGAAAAAATAAATAAATAAAGCGTATTTCAGAGTGATCACTTATCTTCGAACTTTATTTTGGGCAAGTCTAGATTAATATCCATACAGCCTAATCAACTTGAAGGAATACCATCAAGGCGCCTTTGTTTTGTTTTGATTGAGGTTAAATGTTGGACAGCTAGAGACAGGTGTTTTAATTTACTCGTGGTTTTTATGTGGTAAAGTGTTGTTTTTACTATTTTCCTCATAATTTTTAAGTTTTTTTGTCCATAAGAACCATAAGGAAGGAAAAAAAATTTACCTAATTGGTAGTTTTTTTGCTTAACAACACATTTGGAGATTCATTTATTTATATGTTAATTTTAGATATATGTTCAGATTTAATCTATAATATATCCACCTAATATGATGTTTACATCTCAGTATTGACATAAAAACCATACTTTAAATGTTACTGCAGTAAATACATGTGGTACTTCCACTGTAAATATATATTATACATATATATTACGTCCACATGCAAATCGTTCAGTACCAGAGTTTTGCGAGCGATGCCAATGACCTACAATTAATGATCTTTGGCCGTGAGTGCCGTGTTGTTATGAATTCGCTAGCTTAACAAGGACGTTTGTGTTTATTTTTAAACTCCTCGTGCAGGTGTTACTTCGCCTTCTAATTTTACGAGTAACAGGAGAAAAGTTCTCCTCGAAAATCTCAAGTTATGTGATTTTGCTCCATATTTTAGTAAGTTCTAAAGTTATAAAGCGTCAGTAAGACGGACTAGTTATGTCATTCCGAGCGTAATATTAAATAAATTATAGTTGAAAAAAACTAAAAAACACGCTTTAGTAACTAGTCCGAACTAAAAAGTAGAAAGTAATTTTCTATAAGTTCAAAAAGAAAAATCATTTTATCCTAAAAATGCGTGGTGATCTCAATTGTTTTAAAAATATTTTGTTGACAGATTGGTAAAAGTAAAGTTATTATATTATAAAATATGTTGAAAAGACACCCAACGCTTTTTTATGATAAAATGATTTTTCTCTTTGAACTTATAGAAAATTATTTTCTTCTTTTTATTTAGGCAAGCGAGTTACAAAAAGCGAGTTTCTTTTTAGTTTTTTTAAAACAATAATTTATTTTTGCTTTGTAAGTCATGAATGGTGATTATGCTCATTTTGACTGCAAAAGTAACAAGTAAGTAAGCCACACATATGCTTCAACACACACCTCTTAGCACGTAGCAAAAGACACTACCCTATTTTTAGGTATGGAATAGCCGTTAATCCTGAAGATCCTGATCACGATAATCTACCAAATTTATCAAATTGTTGTATTGTCATCGGTCCTCGATAAGTGTGCGAAGTTTCAATTGAATTGGACGGTTTGATGTTGGGCAAAATCAAGTTCGAAGATTCCGTTCCATACATACATACATACGAGTACATACCAAGCTAATAAAAGCGTCTTAAAAATATGAGGTTAGTGGCATCGTCTTTTCACATAAACTTCACTGATCGTTAGGACACTCGAAGCTTATCATAATAAATCCACACAATGAGAAGTCGTAGGCGTAGATAACTGGAATCGAGTGTACATGATCCAGCA